GGGGGTTTAGGGGGAGGGTGGGTGGGCTGAGGGAAAGGGTATGAGGAGGTGGGTTGTAGGTAAGAGGGTGGGGCGGTTGGAAGGGGTGGGTGGGTTGAGGGAAAGGGTATGAGGAGTAGGTAGGGGGTGGGTGGGTTGAGGGGAAGGGTGGGAGACGGGGGGGTTGAGGGAAGGTATGAGGAGGTGGGTTTGTAGGTAAGGGGGGGGGCGGTTGGAAGGGGTAGGTGGGTTGAGGGGAAGGGTGGGAGAGGGTGGGTGAGTTGAGAGAAAGGGAATGAGGAGGTGGGTTTGTAGGTAAGGGGGGACGGTTGGAGGGGTGGGTGGGTTGAGGGGATGGGTGGGAAGAGGTGGGTAAAATAAGGGGAAAGGTAGGAGAGGGAGAGTGGGCTGGTTTGGGAGTAGGTCAGGAAGCGGTGGGTCGGTGGGTTTGGCTGGGAGAGGGTGGGCGGGCTTGGTTGCATGACCAGGAAGGGATAGATAGCGTGGGCCGGGGTGGGGGTGGGGGGGGAGGGTGTGAGGGAACTGGTAGAGCTAAGTCAGGAAGAGGTGGGCGGGAGGAGGTGGGTGGGTTTAGATCCCTTCTGGATGGTGGGTGAATTTTAGGGTCAGCCCAGGAAAGAAAAGACTAGTGTGACCCTAGCTTAAGGAAGCGGAGGGTGGGTTTATGGGAAAGTGGGCGGATGGGAAAGGTGGGCTGATGGGAAGTTGTGGGTTGAGAGGAAGGGTGGGAAAGGTGGGCTGATGGGAAAGTTGGGGGTTGAGAGGAAGGTGGGTTGGAGTAGACGGGTGGGTTGAGAGGAAGGGTGGGAAGGGGTTGGTGGGTTGAGAGGAAAGGTGGGAAGGGGTGGTTGGGGAAGGGAGGTTGGTGTTGGTGGGTGAGAGGAAGAAGGGTGGGTGGGGAAGGAGACGGGTGGGTTGGTTGGGGTAGTGAGAGATGGAAGTTATGGTTGGAGTGGGATAGAGGAGACACTGGTGGGCCGGGGGGGAGGGGGTCACTGGTGGGTCAGAGAGAGGTGGGTGGGAGTGTGTAGGTGGGTCACGAGCCCTGTGAGGTGAGCGACAGGGTAGAGGATAGAATAATAGGAGGAATGAGAAATATGGAAAAATAACGTAAGAGAAGAATAGAGAAATAAACGGAGAAAAAGGTAATAATGATAATAATGTAATAATCATTTCCGGCATGTCATGGACTTCTTGATATCAAAGTCTTCTTCTTTAATCTATTTCTCTCGCTATGAATAGGCTTCACCCGGCCTTTTATAACGAATTCTTATATTTTCTTAATTACAATCAATTTTTTTTCCATCAAATACCGACCATCTCTCAATTTCATATATTTTTTAAGATCTTATTTGCGCAAAATAATCAAAATGTCCCCAAACATGAATTAATAATAACCCTGGAATTTGAACACTGAAAAGTACTTGTCTCCCCCCCCCCCCCCCCGCCTGCGAAGGAGACGAAGGAAATCTCTGAACATCTTTCTTAGTTGTGAAATTCATGAACAACATAAGCATCTCTAGAGGGTGTCTAGGACCTCTAAAATTTCTACTCTGTGCCCACACAACAATGGTAGTTACTTAGCCCGTTTATGGCGGGTAACGTAATATTACGTCTAAGGCTCGGGCTGGTGGGATGTCACCTCGCTATCTAAAACAAATCGAATTTTTCTCTTTCTAGGATTATTTCTTAGACCAGCGTTGATATCACAAAGCTAATTTATCATGCGTTTGTGTATACCATCTTATCTGCCTAAGTACGGATGTATGCAGTTTAATTACTTGATGTAGTAGGGCTTAAAATATCTTATTGGGCTTAAAAAAAAGGTCTGTTCCCTAACTTCAAATGTTTAGACCTTGACATTTCTTTCCCAAACTCAAACGCAGACTTACATGCAACTCCCACAGGTAGGTCTTAGCATTCAACACCCAAACGTAAACACAATTCCATTCATAAACCCTGACCTTTCCCTCAAAACCTTCCATTCTCCTTCCCAGGCGTCGATGCCATGCGAGGCAGTGACCGCTTGTTTGGTGCCGAGTTGCCGTCGCCGCGAGCCGTGAGTGCCATGTTGCAGAAGAGCGAGCAGCGTCCCCAGCGTGGCCTCATAACCCTCATGGTCATGCAGTGGGGCCAGTTCACCGACCACGACATCGTCCACACGCCGGAAGCTGCTCTGGTCGAGTCGGGGAAAGACGGTGGGTGAGATTTGGTCCTGTGTGAATCTCAGTGGATTTTTTTTTTTTTGTATTACAGAGAGATAGAGAGAGAGAGAGAGAGAGAGAGAGAGAGAGAGAGAGAGAGAGAGAGAGAGAGAGAGAGGAGAGAGTGAGAGTGAGTGAGTGAGTGAGTGAGTGAGTGAGAGAGAGAGAGAGAGAGAGAGAGAGAGAGAGAGAGAGAGAGAGAGAGAGAGAGAGAGAGAGAGAGAGAGAGAGAGAGAGAGAGAGAGAGAGAGAGAGAGAAGAGAAGGAGAGAGAGAGAAAAAAAAAAAAAACAAAATCTGACATCCTCTTTCAGCAAAGTAAACAAGAGATCCACAGAATAGGCTATGCTTCCAGATTCCCCCCCCTTCCCACCCCCTCAAGATAAAGACTTTTTTTCCTTCTGCTTTAAAGGTGAAGAGACCAAACCTGTGGAGTGCTGCGAGTCGGGCCGAGACCTTCCCTTCGGCGACGGCGTGTCAGACTGTCAGCCCATCGACGTCTCCGAGGACCCGCTCCACAGGTCGTTCAACAGGGCGTGCATGAAGTTCGTCAGGTCGCTCATCGCCAACCAGGGCTGCGTCCTCGGTCGGTACTCGTTCTTTGAAGGCTCTCTCGGTGTAGTTCAGAGAGAGAGAGAGAGAGAGAGAGAGAGAGAGAGAGAAGAGAGAGAGAGAGAGAGAGAGAGGAGAGAGAGAGAGAGAGAGTGAGTGAGTGAGTGAGAGTGAGAGGAGAGTGAGAGAGAGTGAGTCAGAAAGAGAGATAGATAGAGAGAGAGAGAGAGAGAGAGAGAGAGAGAGAGAGAGAGAGAGAGAGAGAGAGAGAGAGAGAGAGAGAGAGAGAGAGAGAGAGAGAGAGAGAAAGCCAGAGAAAGCCAGAGAAGCCAGAAAGAGAAAGAAAGATAGATAGATAGCAAGTCCACACAAGAACACCAGATCCAACAACCATCCCCCTCCCCTCTCCCCCCACCCCTCCAGGCCCCAGAGAACAGCTGAACCAGATCACGGCCTACCTCGACGGATCAGCTGTTTACGGGTCCAGGGACTCTGTGGCCGACGAGCTGCGGGCCCATATCGGAGGCCGCCTCAACTGGACCAACAGCCCGGCTCCTGGACGCGGCCACCTCATGCCCTTCGTAGAGTGTGAGGGGGGTGAAGGAGGCGCTGGAGGAGGTCATTGCTTCAAGGCAGGTCGGTGCATTGTATACGTGGGTTAAACATGTCTGTAATAAATCTCTTTTGCACTGTACATTTTCGGGCCCTTCATCATTACTTCATCATCATTACACGACAAAGATCTCTCATTTCTCTACCTGCACAATGTAGTAATTGAGTTTGCTATAGTCTTTTTTATGTACCTTTTTATTATTTTTATTATTTTTTCTACCTCCTGCCTGTCGTAAAGGAAATAGGGTGGTTTTGGTTTACTTTCCGAGGTCAATGTTGTTTTCATGTACGGGTTTGTTTTAAAGAAATGTGTGTATAAATATACATTCATAGATGTGTGGTATTAGTGTGTTCGTCTAGCAAATCTTGTAAGCTAAGATGTGTATTTATTAACAATTTTATTATACACACACACACACACACACACACACACACACACACACACACACACACACACACACACCACACACACACACACACACACACACACACACACACACACACACACACACACACACTCCCTTTAACACACACACACACACACACACGCCTCAAACGTTACACACACAACCGCTCGCCCCATAAATTGCCAATCCAGTGCTACCAGAATACCCAAACGCCAATATTCTTTCTTCCAGGAGATCTGCGCTCGAATGAACAGCCCGCCCTTGCTTCCATGCACACTCTCTGGGTCGGGAACACAATGCAGTGGCGCAGCTGTCGTTGGTCAACCCCCACTGGAGCGTGACACCCTCTATGAGGTACCTTCTCGTAAACAAACTCTCATTTTATCACCTTCTCTCTCTCTCTCTCATTTTCATTCTCTCATTCTCTGTCTGTCTTCTTCTCTGTCTCATTCTCATCTCTGTCTGTCTTTGTCTCTTCTCTCTCTCTCTCTCCCATCTCTTCTCTGTCGTCTCTCTCCTCTCCTCTTCTCTTCTCTTTCTCTGTCCTGTCTCTCTCTCTCATTCTCTCTCATTCCTCAGTTCTGTCTCTGTTCTGTCTCTTCTCTTTTCTGCTCTCTTCTCTCTTTCTCTTCTCTCTCTCTCTCTTCTCTCTCTCTTCTCTTCTCTCTCTTCTGTTGTTCTGTCTCTTTCTCTTCTCTCATTCTCATTCTCTCTTTTCTCTCTCATTCTCTGTCCTCGTCTCGTTCTGTCTCTGTCTTCTCTCTGTCTCTCTCTCTGTTCTCTTCTGTCTCTTCTCTATGTCTCTCTCTCTCTCTTCTCTCTCTCTCTCTCTCTCTCTCTCTCTCTCTCTCTCTCCCACCTCCGCCCCCCTCTCTCTCTCTCTCATCTCATCTCTCCTCTTTCTCTCTCTCATCTCTCCTCTCTCTCTCTCTCTCTCCTCTCTCTCTCTCTCTCATTCTGTCTGTTCTTCTCTTTTTCTCTTCTCTGTCTCTGTCTGTCTCTGGTCTCTCGTCTGTCTCTGTCTCTGTCTCTGTCCTCTGGTCTCTGTCTTGTTCTGCTTCCTCTGTCTCTGTCTCTGTCTCTGTCTCCTGTCATCTCTCCTTCTCTTTCTCCTCGTTCTCTGCTCTCTCTCATCTTGTCTCTCTCGTCGCTCTCTCTCTCCTTTCCCTTCTCTCTCTCCTTCTCCTTCTCTCTCCTCCCTCTCTCCCTCTCGTCGTCTTCTCCTT